GGGCAAGTTTTGACACCCCTAGCATAGATCATAAATCAAGCTAGGGGGCCATTTTATTGGATTAAAAATTGCAGAGTAAAATGAAATAAATGAATGTAATGTTTTTGAAATATTTATAGAATTGTTTGGATTAGTGTAAAATAAATGCATTTGTTTTTTTTTTAGTTTTGCTTGAAGAAAAAAATGAATGTTGGGTAAAGCCAAATGATGTTGGTGGCCAATGATAGGTGGTGTCCGATGGTTGTGACGGTGTAGGGTGGTGATCGAAAGCTGGCTATAAACATATGAAAATGGCTATAGGTGGTAGGGTGGCTAGAGTATTATTTTCTTTTATTTCAAATAAAAAAATTAATATTTTTAAAACCTTTGCATTAGAAATTCTTTATACTTATTTTATTTCAAAACCGAACAGCCCATTTGTATGAAAATATAATATATACAAAACTTTTTTGAAAAATAACACTTTGCTATTAAAATAAAAAATAATAGCAGATCTAATTACATATTAAAAAATTCAAATAATTTGAGCTATCTCACTTCATACGATTACAAATCATTTATCACAATCATCCATTAGTATATTACATTTATAGTTCAACGTACATCTAAAAAACATCAATTTTTATGAAAATTACATCTTGTATTTATATGATTTAGATTGAGTATTAATTTCTCTATTTAATATTTACATAATGAAAAACAAGTCAACACAACTTTATATTAAAATGTGTACGCCCCTATTCTTGTAGGTGTAAACATAGAATTTAGATTAAAAAAAATATCAAATTTGAAAGGGAAATATTATTTATATGCTCATAATATTTAGAATTAGAGAAATATGTCTTCTATTAAGAAACTATGCCTGAAAATTCTTTTTTGAACTAAATTATCTCTCTGTTGTTTATGTGAAATGTTTATTAAAGTCCTTTGTAAACAAAGTTATATTCCCTATGCAATCTAGGTTAAAAAAAAAAGGGAAATTTACATACATACCATTATATTTATAATCATTTACATATCTAACACCTAAAAATTTAATATTACTATTATACCACATAAAACTCATTTTATATATCACTTCTACCACTTCGTTACGTCGTCCGTCACGGCGTATTCTTCTCGTTGGAAATTTTCCGTTCGCAAATAGCTCTGCTCGCGAACACAATCGATCAGAATTCCATCTGCTAACGAAAACCTCTGCTCGTTGCTCACGTATTCTTCCTTCTACTCGCTGCTCGCGTCAGACTGATCGCGATCCTCTGCTCGGCTGCTTGAGATCGGAAGAACAAACCTGCTCGATCGGAATTCCATATGGTAACGAAAACCTTTGCTCGTTGCTCGCGTATTCTTCCTTCTGCTCGCTGCTCGCGTCTGGATGATCGCGATCCTCTGCTCGGTTGCTTGTGATCGCTGGTTCTGCTCGGCCGGTGTGATTCCCAACGGCAATTGTGAACGGCCGGTGCCGGAACAAGGTACATTTTCTTTTCTCTGTGGTTTTCTTTGTATTTCTTTATGCTCATTTTCTTTTGCCGTTATGAGAAAGAGAACTCTTGATTGCTGGTGGGCAGGTCTACAGCTTTGTGAGAATAACTAGCAGGTTTTCTTATTGTTACATGGCAATGGTAACCATTGATCTTTGCATTCTTTCGGGCCACCTCTATTAAAAAATCATAATAACCATTCATCTTTGCATTCTTTCTGTTACATAGAAGGTTTTAACTTAGGGTTTTGTTTCACTGCTTTCAAATACTGCTTCCTTGCTTCGGAAAAAAAAACAAAAACAAAAATGAAGGGCACGGATTAGGTTCACGATCTCAAAATTACAAAAAAAACCAACAGCAAACTCCAGATCTAAACTTGCCTTTATCTGCAAGGTTACCAAACACAGGGAAGCAAAAAAAAAAAAAAAACGGGAAAAAAAAAAAAAAAACAGCTGGGAGCGATAGATCTCAAAAGCAAGCTACAGATCTTCGGAAAAAAAAAAAAACAAATTGAAGGGCATGGATCATACCTTCTCCCGATCTCAAAAGCAAGCTATAGACTTCACCTTCCTCCCCTCTCGCGATCTCCGAAATCCTTGACCACTCGCTGCTCACACCGCTCTTTCAAATTCGCGGTAAAAAGAGGGGAGAAATACGGCGTGAGGTGGGGAAGTAACGGAGTGGTAGAAGTGATATATAAAATGAGTTTTAGGTGGTATAATAGTAATATTAAATTTTTAGGTGTTAGATATGTAATGGTTATAAATATAGTGGTATGTATGTAAATTTCCCAAAAAAAAACAAACAAACAAAGTTAGTTTCAAATAAGATTTGAGCAATATTCAATTAAACTTTATTTGAACTTTGCGTTAACCTTCCTTGAAACATGCCAATCTTGTCAAAGCCTTCTCCTCACATACCGTCAATCTCTTTAGCAAACCAGTTACTAGCTCATACTCAAAATACCATTCTTCTCAAATACTGATGGTCCAGTTGATCAGACCCCTAACGAATTGCTCGTCAAAATGAAGCCTCCAACTAGATCTTATGTGAAACCCTCTTTTTCATGAGAAATTATTTTGTGCGGTCACTAGACCGAACGGAGGCAAATCATACCACGTCAGGTCACCCAATACATAGCTACACACATCATTTGTACACAATTAAAAGTGACATGGCGTGCTCCGATTTGCCTTTGGACTCTGTCCGGTAACCGCACCGAATAATTTTTCCTTTTTTGCACACATTGATGGTCCTATGAACAAGCCCCATTGCCACCGTTCCTTTTGTCTTCCACACTACAGTCACATAAATCCCTAGATTCAAAATTGGTTCGAACTTAATTTGAATCATATTGTTTAAATTTAATTCATTTTTCTTGTTTTTTAAAAACATTAGATATAAAACAATTTTCATATTGAAAAAAATAATATAATGATCGTAGATCCCTTGTCTTCAAAAAGCAATTGGGTAATATTTTACCTGCTCAAATTTTTAATATTAGCCCAAAATATCATTAATAAAAAACAAGCTTTATGAACTTGCTCATTTTTATATTAATTCTGTATTAATTTGATGTTGAATTACGTTAAATAAAATATTCCTCTATAAAATTATTTTACATTCCTAATAAAAAAATATACTCTCCATCAAGAGATAAATTAATTAAAAATATCTTTATAAAAAAAATATTTCATATCATAAGAAATATCTCAACAAAATATTAAATTATTAAAATTCAATAATATCTAAAAGTAACCTGATCCCATAAAACACTTAATGCTGAGCAGGAAAGAAACCGCAGGACGGTCGAAAAAGAGCAGCCAAATTGCAGCACACAATGCTGCAAGTTGCCGTTCAAAATATTTGCAAGTGGATGATCGACGCTATTATATTCCTATAGTCCTAATCTGTAAATAAAATAACATTAAGTGGAGCCCAGCTTAGTTTGACCCATTTGCCATTCTAATGCGTTCATAACAGTACAAAAAAAGCACACGCAAGTATTTTTTTTATATATATTTTCATAATTTGATCAATCAAATTTTATATTGTATTCATTTCAAAATAATCACAATCAGTTGAGCTGATTTTTCTTGGATGCACTCACGATTGATACAGTTTGATCGAATCCAGAATCTCGCATTCATGATCTTTGCATTCCACTGTGCCCAAGAGAAACAATGGAAACACACAATACAATAGGTTGCTTATGTCATGACTTGCTCCGGTCCGGTCTCGGGTTTATTTGCTTCGCAGTAAGGGTGCAAATAAGTCGAGTCGAGTTCTAGCCAGAGGGTGTTCGAGAGCTCGAGTCGAGCTCAAAATCTGAGCTCGAGCTAGACTTGTCTCATGTCTAGCGGCTCCTCGAGCTCAATCCCGAGCTCTAATGTTGAGCTCTGTTCTGAGAAGGCTCGTCGTTGTATTCGTTGTCGTCTCGAGCTCCATTGTCGTCCTGACCTCCATCGTCGAGATCTATCATCATGAGCTCGTCGTCGCGTCCACTGTCATCCCGAGGTCCGTCGTCATCCCGGCCTTTGCCGTTGAGATCCTTCGTCCTGCTTGTCTTCAAGTTTGCCGTCGAGATTCGTCCTCCGTTGTCATCCCGAGCTTCACTACGAAGATCTACATGCTCCGTCATTTTCATTTTCCTGCCCGACCTTCAATTCGTCGTCCCGCCCACACCAACTGAGATTTCCTTTACCCACCTGGTTGTTAACACACCTCCACTCACTTGCGGTTAACATCATCATCATGCTCTGTCATCCCAGAAGAAGTGAACCTCGTCTCACTGACCCTGCAGTCTGGCGCCAACGGCTTCTGACTTTTCCAACAGCTTGTCTCCCCAAAGAGCTCTATATAAGCGTCTACTGTACACTGCAAATATTATGCTTCTCTAATGAGATGAAATGGCTTCTATGAAACTTTCCACTCTATGTTTTCCTCTTTTCTAACCTTGCAGGTCTCCGTTCATGGTATCAGAGCGTGAACCTCCTGCAGAACTTTCATCGCTGAAGGATGGCAGACCAATCTTCCCCCTCTCAGACGTCTTCTTCCTCGACGCTGCTCACCTCCATGACGGCAGTATCAATACCCCCTTCGCTCAAATTTTTGATGTCTAATCTCAAATTCATAGTGCATACTCACCTCACTATAGACAATTACGCCATGGCGTATTCAAATCTTTCAAGCCTTCATTGCCAATGGATTCGACGGCTACATCATCGGAACTCTTCCGTGTCCACCTGAAGGCTCAGAAACAGCTGCCGACCACAAACTGTGGAAACTCGTAGACCAGAATCTCATTTCGGCCCTGTATTCAACCATTTCACCGTCCGTGCTTCCTCACATTTTGCATCTCAAGACATCGCAGGACATCTGGAATGCGTTAGAGCTGCGTCTGCAACCTACAAAAAGATCAAGAGTGATACAGTTAAAGAACGAGCTTCATAACACTCAAATGCGCGACCTAACTGTAACACAATACCTGAGCAAGATCAAATCACTCATAGACAACATAGCTGCGGCTGGTTGTCACTTAGACACGGAGGATATCATTCACTACACTCTCAAAGGTCTACCGTCGTCATACAATCCATTCAAGGCAGCAATATGAATCTCATCGCATCCCATAACACTAGAGTCTCTCTACTCTCTGCTTTGCAGTGAAGAGATAAACTTACAATCCGAGGTGCAGCAGGACAATGCTGCGAATGCCGATCATCAGGCTTTATATGCCACAAGAGGTCGAGGAAGAACCTCCAACTACAGAGGCAACAGAGGACGCTCAACCACATTCAGCTCTGCTCAGACCAGCCGTCCCCCACCGTCTACTACCAAGACAGGAGAACGGACCTACTGCCAGATATGCGGCAAACCAGGTCATCTAGCTGTCGCCTGCTGGCACAGATACAACTCAAACTACATCTCTCCAACTCCATCCAACCCCAGAGCTCTACTCACGCAAAACCAATCATCTCCTACAAATGACTGTATTTTGTACTCGAGAGCATCTACACATCTCACGTCAGACATCTCCAATCTTCACCAATCAGCTCCGTATCAGGGTACCGACTCAGTCTCAACAACAAGTGGATCGTCTCTTCCAATCCTTCACAACGGCGCCGGTATCCTACCCCTACCCGATACTAACCGTAAGCTTCATCTCAAACATCTTCTTCACGTTCCTTCACTTACACACAATTTAATCTCCATTTCTCGTCTAACCGCTGATAATCAATGCTCCATCTCCTTTGATTCTAATGGTTTTATCATCAAGGATCTGCTGGACAACAAAATTCTTCTCCGTGGACATAATCGAAACAGAATCTACCCTCTGAACTCCGGCATTCAACATCCCACTCAAGCTCTCAGTACACAACTTGCTTCTGCCTCACTCTGGCACTCAAGATTGGGTCATCCTCATCAACGCACACTGAATACACTATCTAAACTTATACCTAGTATATGTAATAGATCTCAAAACTCTCTGTTCTTCCTGTAAAGTGGCTAAAAGCCACAAGCTTCCATTTCTGAAGGAAGCTAATCATGTATCACTACAGGAAAAACGCTGAAAACCGGCGGTTAGTATAGATTTACCGGCAGTTTTTAAAGTTACCGGCGGTCTAACGGCGGTTTGTGAACCGCCGGAAAAAACGACGTAGGAAACCATTTCCGACGGCTATTTACCGGCGGTTTATTTTTGCGGCGGTTTTCCGGCAGCCAATACCGCCGGTGACCACCGGAATTTTAACCGTCGGTCGGCCGGCGGTTAGGCCGCCGGTATTGTAACCGCCGGAAAACCACCGGTCAAATTACCGGCGATTTTCCGGCAGTTATACCTGGCGTCGTCTCGTTCATTAGACCGCCGGACGGCGCCGTTAGACCGCCGGTAAAGTACTGGCGGTGGACGGCGGTTATAGCCGTCGGTATTACCGACGGTTTAAACTGTCGGGCGTCCATTGTATAACCGCCGGCGGCCGTCGGTAAGCCGCCGGTACTTACCGGCGGTTTAATAATATAACCGGCGGCTTAGTTTGAGGGAATTATATTGTCAGCCGGATTAGTTTCCTTCATAAGACCAATACGTCATTAAAACACTCACGGGGAATATTATACTCAGTTTTAATACTTAGCATCCTCACTGCAATGGATAATTCCGAATGCGTACTGCAACCTTCCCAAATTGACTTTTGAGCTGAATGTAATAACTCAAAGAATTTTTGTGTCTCTGCATTTGGTGGCTCTTCCACATTAGACCTTAAATTATGACCTGCTACATCAAAAATAAGGTCTTCATAGGGTCTACTCATTTGATCTTCATCAAATGTTTCATAAGCTGTAGATGAACCAGCATGAGCATCTCTATGTGGCTCGTACTCGCCATGTGATGTCCAAATCCAATAGTTTGGAAGAAATCCCCTACGATATATATCAAGCTTCACATCATCGGGCTTTAGGAATGCTAGATTTTTATGCTTCGAACACGGACATCTAAACATTTTATCAAACTGAAAGGAAGGCAGTTGAGATGCAACTTGAATGAAAGTTTCAACTCCCTCTATAAATTCAACTGTCAATCCTTTTCGACCCGGCAACAATCTGTTATACATCCAATATCTCTCTTCTTGGATAGTCATTTGCACGTTGAAGTAAACGTACCCTACATGTTGGAGGCATAAACAATCTGTTATACATCGAAATAGATTTTTATGCTTTGAAGGACTTAATCATGCTCTAATTAATGTCTTGATCACCCAATGTCATAATCCCCTCACAAGGTCTATTACAACTAAAAGTACACATCATATATTCAGTTATAGATCTATTGAAGCGAAAACCTTATAAACTTTATAGTTGACCTCCATAATTCATGTTTTCCTTCAACTCCCTTTCTAGTCTTATCAACATCTTGCTGATCCTTGATATAATCCAACCGAAATAGGAAAATACTTGATCAAACCACCATGTATTTGAACACAAGTAATAGCTCCTACATACATATCAATAATGATTTTAATATAAGCATTATTAACTCCTTTCTTCTTAAGAACCCTCCATAGCACTTCTCTTGGAATATTAAGATATATTTTCTCTAAATAGATAAATATCATATATAGATCCTCCTTATTCTCATTATATTTCTCCATCAAACCTCTCAAAAAATGTATGACTTCCATTGCATCACAACCAAGCATTAATCCAAATTGATTTTGAGAAACATTAGTATCACACCTAAACCTATGCACCATAACTCTCTCCCACATTTTTAAAGTATAAAACATTAACTAACAAGATAATATCAACAAATAATCAAAGAAAAACCATAAAAAATAACCTTAAAAGAGAAATCGGTTTGTTTGGGGTCGGAATCGGTCGGCGGTCGGGCGTCGGAGTAAACTCGTCGGCGGCGGTCGGACTGGGGACGGCGGCGGTCTAGACCGCCGAAACAAAATCACTTATCACCGGCGGTGTAGACCGCCGGAAAACCGCCGGTTCATGTTGATATCCGGCGGTTTATAGACCGTCGGTAACACCGGCGGTGTATCGTAGCTAAGCCGCCGATTTGGCCGTCGTTATAGTCCGACGGCTTAACCGCCGGCGGAGCCGTCGGTAATACCGACGGTCTATAAACCGCCGGTATTTGCCATTTTTTCTGTAGTGTATATAAACTATTTAGTTTAATTCACACCGATGTTTGGGGTCCCTCCCCGATCCCTTCTCTAAATGGCCACCGATATTACATTATCTTTATAGACGATTGTTCTAGATTTTGCTGGCTATATATCATGAATGCTAAAAGTGAAAGTTTCTTAAAATTTAAACACTTTTACAACATGATTCAAACACATTTTCACTCCCCCATAGCTACACTTCGCTCGGATGGGGGAGGTGAATACACAAGCCAGGATTTCAAAAATTTTCTGCTCTCTCACGGAATTAAACATGAATTCAGCTGTCCTTACACTCCGGAACAAAACGGAGTCTCGGAACGAAAACACAGGCATCTGGTCGAGACAACCCGCACTCTACTTCATGTCGCCAACTATCTCATTAACAGATTACCCACATCGTCCCTCAATCATCAGATTCCATATCACCGTCTTCACGGCCATCTTCCTAATTATGAACATCTAAGAACCTTCGGCTGCTTGTTTTTTCCGTGGCTTCAACCTCAAACACCTCACAAATTAGCTCCTCGTTCCACTCCTTGCATCTTCCTAGGATACTCCACCTCACACAAGGGATACAAATGTTACAATCCGCAAAACCAAAAACTACACATTTCTCGTCATGTACACTTTCAAGAATTAAATTTTCCCTACACAACACCCCCACCTCTTTCCAACACTTCCTCTATTACGGCCACTCCTCCTCTCCTCTTAATTCCAACCTCTACTTACTCCTCCACACCGTCACAAACCACCCACACATCTCCTCAATTCACCTTATCACAATCACCTCCATCTGCTGACAATTCTCCCTCTAACTCCCACAACTCCAACTCTCCTCCTCCCCAACCAGTCACAGATCCTCTACAATCTCACCATCCAATGCAAACGAGACTCCAAACCCGCCACCTAAAACCAAAGAAGATCTTTGATTTACTTGCTGTTACTGACTCGAGCCCAACGCCCTCTAGCTACTCTCAAGCTATCAAACAGACAGTGTGGAGACAAGCGATGTCAGCCGAGTTCCTAGCACTTCAAAACCAAGGGACATGGTCTCTCATTTCCCCTCCTTCCCACGCTCCTATACTAGGCTGCCGGTGGACCTACAAGACCAAACTCAATGCAGATGGAACCATTCACCGCCACAAAGCTCGTCTAGTCGCGCAGGGCTACACTCAACAACGTGGCATCAATTATACGGAAACATTCAGCCCGGTGGCTAAAATGCCTACTATTCGGGTCCTGCTTGTCATCTCCACTCAAAGGAACTGGCCTCTACTTCAATTTGAAGTAGCTAATGCCTTCTTACACGGTGAGCTTCAAGACGAAGTCTATATGCAGCAACCACAGGGTTTTGTTGATCCAGATCATCCCGATCATGTGTGCAAACTACACAAAGCCATCTATGGCCTAAAGCAGGCTCCCAGACAGTGGTTTAACATGCTCACACAGTTTCTCTTAAACTTTGGCTTTAAGTTCAGTAAAGCTGACCCCTCCTTGCTGATCTAGATCACCCCGCAAATCCAACTGTTCCTGCGCATCTATGTTGATGACCTGCTATTGACCGGAAATCATCAGCAAACAATTCAACTACTGCTGCACCAACTACAGACAAACTTTGATCTAAAACAGCTCGGGACGGCAAAACTATTTCTGGGTATTCAAATCACTCAAACGCCCACTGGTCTCTTCCTAAGCCAATCACACTATGCTCGTGACATCTTGCTCTCATGTGGCTTCGACTCCTACAAACCAGTTGTCACTCATATCTCACTAAAGTCCTCAAATGACATTGCCGATCACACTCCATACAACAACCCCACTCTCTACCGCCAACTTGCAGAATCCTTGCAGTATCTAACGGTAACACGACCAGACATTGCCTTCACAACCAACATTATCTGTCAAAAAATGCACAGTCCGACTGTTTCTGATAATCTTCTCCTAAAGCGCCTACTCAGATATATCAAGGGGACAATGCACTATGTCCTTCCGCTCAAATCTGGTTCCCTACATCTCTCTACCTACAGTGATGCGGACTGGGCCGCTAACACAGAGGACGGAAAATCGATTTCAGCATTCTGCACCTTCCTTGGCGACAATCTTTTATCTTGGAGCGTGAAGAAACAATCAACAGTAGCAAGGTCCTCAACAGAGGCTGAATAGAGGGCATTAGCCGCGGCTACTTCAGACGTTCTTTGGTTACGTCGTCTAATGGCAGACTTTCAAGTCCCGCAACAAATGCCCACACCAATCTTCTGCGACAACATCTCTACACTTGCTCTCGCAAACAATCCAGTGTTTCATGCGAGAACCAAACACATAGAGATTGATCACCATTTCATCAGCGACCACATCAAAAACAAAATGATCGAGGTGTCTCACATTAGCTCACTGGATCAGCCGGCGGACATCCTCACCAAGCCATTGAATGCAATCAGATTTTCTCTTCTACGTGACAAATTAACACTCTGTCTCCCAGAGCGTTCATTTGAGGGGGGCTGTTAACACACCTCCACTCACCTGCGGTTAACATCATCATCATGCTCTGTCATCCCATAAGTAGTGAACCTCGTCTCACTGACCCTGCAGTCTGGCGCCAACGGCTTCTGACTTTTCCAACAGCTTGTCTCCCCAAAGAGCTCTATATAAGCGTCTACTGTACACTGCAAATATTATGCTTCTCTAATGAGATGAAATGGCTTTTATGAAACTTTCCACTCTCTGTTTTCCTCTTTTCTAACCTTGCAGATCTCCGTTCACTGGTCACCTCTGCAAGTTGCTCGACGAGCTGACGAGTCGAGCAGAGCTCTGTCGAGCTCAATAAGCCGTCGAGCTCAAATTCCTGTTTAAGCTCGACTCGCAAACTTGAAAAGCTCGGCTCGTCGAGCCCGAGCCAGCTCGTGAGTCAGCTTGACTTGGTTAAATCCCTACTCCGCACCTTTGATCTTTAGATTTTTATAATAAAAATTAAATAAAATATTATAAGTCTATGTTTTATTATTTTCTTTTTCAAATTTTTTTATTTTTTATTTTCCTTTTTATCATCACTCATTTTATTATGCCATTGTAAGCAAGCAATGCTCATTTGAAGTGCTAACTTTTGGGGTGCCATTATACCTAATTTAAGATTAGGTAGATATTTAACTTTAATCTAAGCATTAATGATGTCTGCATGTCTGGCTAAGTTTAGGGAGGGTGGAAAATACATGCAGGTAGTTAGGTAAAGCATTTTTTTGATAGTTTGCTAGCTGGAAAGTCGTCCCTCAAAGTGACTAAGCATTGTTTCTCTTACGTGGAGGGCCAGCGCTAAACTCATTGGGTGAATACTATATATTTTTTCTTTTTTATTAGAAGAAAAAAAAAAAAAGAGTTCGTTCATGTAAGGTTAGGCTATTTATTTAATTTGTAAGCATGTAATAATGTATATTGTATATGGCTTGTACAAGTGTGTTACATGTTTACCTATTTTCTAGAATTCTCGATCTGTTTACTTGTTCTGTATATGTAATTCTATATATATTGTTCTCTGTAATAGATTAGACAAGACT